AATTCTACTCTATGAAATTTGCTTTCTTGGTAACCTAATATATGATCAATTTTCCTATTTTATGTGTGCTTGAGAAAAATGTGTATTTTCTAGTTTCTATTCTCATAGTATTGGATGTGTATGCATAAGATCTACCTTATTGATTATGTTGCTTAGCTCTTCTGTATTCCTTTTTTGTCCTTGGACCTGTGTGTTAAAGTCTCTTATTACTAGTGTGTCTATTTCTCTTTATATCATCTATAGGTAGTTACTGTGTTGCCTTATGCATAATCATAACTTTATGTCTTGATTATAAATTGTGACTTTGAGCTTCGTAAAGTGTTCCCCTTGTCAGATTTAATTCATTTGTTGTCTAAGTTCTAGTTTGTCTGATAATCTGGATTTCAATTCATTTTCTTATTGTTTCCATTTGACTGGTATTTGTCCTTCCCATTACTTTTAGCCTGTTCAAATTATGATGTTTTAAGTATTTTTATTGAATTAGTGTGGAACTGAGTTTTGCTTTATGAGCGGATTTGAAATATTTTTCTTTAAATAGGCAGTTTAAACCCATTTGCATTGATTGCTCTGACTGATACATTTGTTTTCAAGTCTGTCATATTTTTATCAATAATAGCTGATTCAGTTATATTTACTGTATTTCTTTTTCTATGTGGAATCTTTGCTTTTTATTTTAATTTCTTTTAGTATATAGGAAAGTTTGTATTTTTGTTGCACTGGTTACTTTTACAAACTAGAAAAAGAAGAGCAAATTAAACCCACAGTAGAAAGACGAAAATAATAAAAATTAGAATAAAAACCAAGAGCTCTTTAAAAAAAAATGGTGAACCTGCATCTCCATACTGATCAAGAAAAGAAGGAAAGAAGATACAAGTTACCAGTAACAGGAATGAAAGAGAAGATATCACTACAAATCCTTTATACATAAGAAGGATGATAAGGAAATATTATGAACAACATTTTACCTATAAATTCACTGAGATGAAATAGGCAAATTCTCTGAAGAAAATACGAATTACAAAAACTAACTTAAGAAGAAACAGAAAAACAGAATAACCCTATATCTATGAAATAAATTGAATTAATAATTTAAAAACCTTCTCACAAAGAAAATGCCAGTCCCAGATGGTGAATTTATCAAACATGTAAAGAAGAAATAACACTAATCCTATGCAAAGTCTTTCAGAAAAGGAGAATGAAGTTACCAACTCATTTTATAAGGCCAGAATTGCCCTGATTGAAACCACAGACACTAAAAGGAAACTACAGATCAGTATCTCTCATGATCTTAGATACAAAAATTCTTAACAAACTATTAGTAAATTAGTTCCAGTAAAGTATAAAAGGGGAAATTCTATGACTTAAATGGGGTTTATATTATTAATTAATGTTGATAGAATCATTATTTTATAGTCACATTTAATTTTTCATTGAAAATAATCTAACTTCTTTAGATGCCTTCATAACAGACTTGTCTCTTCATTTCTTCCCACTGTTTTCAAATACAAATCCACTTTCCAAAAATAAAGATTTGCCATCATTGAGGAGCTCCAAAACAATATGCTAAAGGCTTTGGACCCCACATTAAGAATTCTCTGCTTCAGAACGTTTTTGGGTTATGGTAATGTTCTGTATCTTGATTGTGGTCTTGTTTACATGAGTATATAATTTATCAGAACTCATCGAACTGTACACTTAAAGTTTTTTTATTTTTTAATGTCCTGCTCTAAGTTGTGTTTTAGACCTAAGGTATTCACAAATATCTGAAGAATATTCTTGACGGTAGAGAAAGTTCTGAAATCCCTTTTAGTTCTAATCCTGCCTCTGAAGTGAACCTGATACATACCATATTGAAATTCCAGTGAGGAAATCTTACCCTTGTTTATTGGACTAGCATGGCTCCATGTAGGTGCAAAAAAAGTCATTTGGAGCTTAACATTTGTGACTCATTTAAATTATTTTTGAACTTAATCAAATCTGTATTTAATTTTCTCCTACTTCATTAGACCTAGCTTAATTCATACAGTGTTACTCTGCTCATAATACATTTTTAAATTGTCTTTGAACTCAACAACTAAGTTCACCGTATGTTTGTTAGAACAATTCCAGATGACTTTGCTTATTCATTCATGCTTGTTTTCAGCTTTATTCATTCTTCAAATAGCATCTACATTCATCTGAAGAAACTAAAAGTAAGCTGATTACCATAATAGTGTGGGGCTTACAGTTCAGATCTCCTCTAAACTCTTACTTAAGAGTAGATACTGTGAAGCATTATTTTCTTAACTTGGTTATTTGATTTAAGGATAGACTTTAGTGCTAGATCATTAATATCCTTTTACTGGTTGTGGGAAAAAGAGAGGTGACATTTTAGTCAGGCATGTCTATCAAAAGTATTATTTTTACTCTCTGCTCTTAGTGCCAAATATTTTCTCACATAAATTTTCAAATCTTCCTGTCATCTTGCGTTTCCATTAAATGAGTTAACACCGGCCGGGCGCGGTGGCTCACGCCTGTAATCCCAGCACTTTGGGAGGCTGAGACAGGCGGATCACGAGGTCAGGTGATCCAGACCATCCTGGCTAACACGGTGAAACCCCGTCTCTACTAAAAAATACAAAAAAACTAGCCAGGCGTGGTGGCGGACGCCTGTAGTCCCAGCTACTCGGGAGGCTGAGGCAGGAGAACGGCGTGAACCCGGGAGGCGGAGCTTGCAGTGAGCCGAGATGGCGCCACTGCACTCCAGCCTGGGAGACAGAGGGAGACTCCCTCTCAAAAAAAAAAAAAAAAAAAAAAAATGAGTTAACACCTTAGTAGATTATTCATAAACTTCAAACTTGGTGATCATTGATATTTTTATAACATTTGGTTTATACTCTGATGAAATATAAAAAGAAATGTTTAGGCACTTCACAAAGATATACAATACCATACTTAAGTGAAGAAATCAGAGAGAAAAGGAAGAGGAAAGCAAGATGCAGCCATGACTAAAGTTTTGCATACTGTGAGGACCAACACACACTTACTAGAGCTAGGCCCCAAATTTAGCCCTGGAGTTTGTAGTCCCTCAACACAAAGTTAACAGATAAATACAGGAGCACAGCGCCAACATTCAAAATTTAATATTCGCATGATAAACAAGTAATTTATAGTATAAAGTATGTGCTTGTTATTTTTGGTGTTTTGCCAACTAGCAGCAGCCCTACCACAGATAAAAAAATGGCAACTATTCTGATTACTTACTTACCGTAAGGCCAAAACCTCGCTGAAATTTAAAAAAGTTAACTAATTTAATTTTCCTGAACTCAGAAAAGTCACTCCAGATCATTTGAAGACTTAGCGCCATAAAAATTGAAGTGGCTTGGTTATTATTTCCTGACTAACATAATAATAGACGGGCTTCCTTACGCGGCCCTTTAATGTTTTTATTTAAAGAATTTGGCATTCTTTTTTGCTTAATGCACTCAGAATTTTTTTTTTTTTTCTTTTTTTTTTGGTTGATAGGGCTCCGCCCCTGTCTCTCAGGCCCGGTGTGCTGTGAATGCTGGTAGCAAACTAGCGGCTTACTGCAGGCCTGAACCTGCCCCTGGGCCGCAACGTGATCCCATTCACCGGGGGGCGTCAGCCCCCTGGGATAGAAGGGCTACAGGCATGCAACCAATTCCATGACATCCGGGCTATATTTTTCTTTTTTTTCTTTTTTTTCTGGTAAACGGAGAAAACTCACTCTGTCACCAGGAGCTAGAAGGGTGGAAATGGCGCCAATCTGGCTTACTGCAAACCTCCCTCTCCCGCGTCAAGTGCTTCTCTCTGCCTCAAAGGTTTCACCATGTTGCCAGGCTGGTCTCAAAACTCCTGACCTCAAGTGATTCACCCAGCCTCAGCCCTCCCAAAGTGCTGGGGCTTATAAGGCATGAGCCACCACCACAACAGAGCCTTAGCTAATTTTTTTATTTTTTATTTTTGTAGAAATAAGGTCTCACTATGTTGCCCAGGCTGGTCTCGATTTTTTTAGCTCAAATATTTTCTCCTGGCTCAGCCTCCCAAATTGTTTGGATTGCAGGCATGAGCCACCACACTTGGCTAAGCAAAACATTCTTAATAAAATATTTAAAGTATTTTTGTGGCTTTTTTTATATTCTGCTAAATATTCTGACTTTTTGATAGTGTGAATATAACCCTGTCCCAAGAGAATCCATCAACGTCATTAGAGGTACTGCCTGCACTAATAGACATCACATGTAGTATAGTTTTTTTAGTAATAATATAACAAACCACGTGAAGGGTATGAAGGGTAGCAGTGACTGTTTCTTTCCTCTGCGTTGCACCCTGTCCCTTTTACTCTACGTCCTGATGAATGGAATTACAAGGCTTTTTTTTAGGTGGCTGGCCTTCTCAACAAGGTAATATCTTGTTGCCGTTTTGTCTCCATTTTTTTTTTTGCCTAGCCTTAGGTAAAGACAAATTATTGGTGTTTGTAGATTCTCACTAGCATTTTTTTTAGAGAGTTTGGTCCTCAGAGTTTTTTCACTGGTCTAATACTCTCCTCATTATATTTTTTTTTGTTTACAGAACTGCTAACATTCTTATTCTTTTTTTAAACTGACCCCTTGGTTTTTTTTTCCTAGACACTGCCTATTCAGCAACTAATCTTCTTTTGAAAGCTTTTCCTAACTTTTTTTTTGCCTCATATATCTGGAGTTATAGTTTGGTATAGTTAATTTTGCTTATTTTGAATTTTTTTTTTTATTTTGATCATTTATTTTTTAAGTCATTTTTCCTAATTTGCTTGAATCACATTTTTTTATTTTTACTAAACTTTAATGGTGTCTTCTGTACCTTCCTTTGTTCTCTTTATAATTTTTTTTTTTCCTCTGGTATCGTTTTAAACTTCAGTGCATTGTGGAATACAGCTTTGTCCCATAACCCTGAAGAAAAACATTGAGACAATAAATGTGATCACAGGATTTTTTTTTTTCTTCTTTTTTTACTTTAAACAGGTAATGGAGAGTGAAGAGTTCATGTTGCTTCCAGCCAATCAACTCATTGATATAATATCCAGTGATGAACTAAACGTTCGCAGTGAAGAACAAGTGTTCAATGCTTTTTTTGCCTGGGTCAAATACAGTATTCAGGAAAGACGTCCTCAGTTACCCCAGGTAATGATAAAAATGCTTCTCTAAGAAACTACTGGCCAGGCGCGGTGGCTTATGCCTGTAATCCCATCACTTTGGGAGGCCGAGGCGGGTGAATCACAAGGTCAAGAGCTCAAGACCATCCTGGCCAACATGGTGAAACCCCGTCTCTACTAAAAATACAAAAATTAGCTGGGCGTGGTGGTGGGCGCCTTTTTTTCCAGCTACTTGGGAGCCTGAGGCAGGAGAATCGCTTGAACCCAGGAGGCGGGGATTTTTTTGAGCCGAGATTGCACCCCACTGCACTCCAGCCTGGCGACAGAGCGACACTCTGTTTTTTTTAAAAAAAAAAAAAGAAACTACTTAGTACTAGATGAGATAATATGTATTGTCATGTTTTTTTAAAACAGTTATCACTCTACATTTGTCTGTAAGAAAGTCCATCTGTTTCCAAATATTTTTTTAAATAAGTATTTAGAAGCATTTTGGTTGCTTATTAATGTGGGCTTTTTGCTCCTTTTTTTTCTCCATATTTCTACTTTTCAATGATAGCACAATTCAAAACTTAAATTGTATAAATTTTTTTAAAGAAAGCAAGGATGCTTCTTTTCTATAGCTTGAAAATCCTACCACAGTTTTCTTTTTTTATAACTTGGAAATAATACCACACTTTCAAGAGTAAAGAGATGATGCATCAGTCGTTTTTTTGCGATCAGTAGTTCACTTTAGACCCATTCTCGTTATTGTGTTTATAGTCTTTAGTTTTTTTACAAGATATTCTTCTGGATTGTGAATTAATTTGAGTCCAGCTTATAATGTATTGTTTTTTTTTTTTAGTAGTTACGCCTTCCCGCCTTCCTTATTTATGGTATTCAGTGAGATCCCAAAACAATTGGAAGCACAGTAGGGTGCCATGGGTCATGTATTCTCTTAAATATCTTATAGTTTTTTTCTCATGCCTTTAATAGTGTTTATTGGTTGGGTGCAGTGGTGCAAGCCCATAATCCCAGCACTTGGGAGGATAAGGCAGGCAGATTGCTTAAGCTCAGGTGTTTGAGACCAGCCTGGGCGGCATGGTGATTCCCCGTTTCTACAAAAAAGAAAAATACAAAAATTCACTGGGCATGGTGGCATGTACCTGTAGTTGCAGCTACTCTGGAGGCTGAGGTAGGCAGATCACTTGAGCCCATTTTTTTGAGGCTGCAGTGACCCATGATCACACCACTACACTCCAGCCTGGGCAACAAAGTTTTTTTTATCTCAAAATTAATTAATTAAAATAATGGTGTTTATTTTCTCATAGGTGCTGCAGCATGTTCGTTTGCCTTTGCTTAGTCCCAAGTTCCTCGTGGGCACAGTAGGCTCTGATCCCCTCATCAAAAGTGATGAAGAATGCAGGTATGAGTGACCCTGGATGGGAAAACTCAACAACTTTTTTTTCCTATTTCTTCCTAATTTCTTTATTTATATTGCTTCCTAAATGTTGTATTTTGTAGAGCTGAAATCAGGGCATTAATTTAACAAGACTTTCTTCTGAGCTAGGGTCAAGAGGAGGTTTTTTTAGAAGAGAGAACTAAACTTCCAGTGTTCCATTCCGTTAGTTTTTTATATGTGGTGCTTATTGGTGTAGAAGTGGCAATAAAGAGGTAGATTTCCAAGATTCTGATGCAGGCTTGATTTTTTTGAGTCAATTCTCTGCTAATATTTTTTTTTTCCTTGAGATAATTGAAAATGTTGATTTTTTTAGTGAACATTTTTTCCTTCCATCACATATGTCTGGTTGGGGAATGGAATCAGCCTTGCTTTCTAAATTGTGGACAGAGTTAAAGATCTCCCACCTTCTAAAATAGCTGTAGAAAGATTTTCACTAGAACTAGGTGAAGCAGTTTCCAGAATTTTTTTGACAAAAGAAACTCCAACTTTTTTTTCAAAGGCGGGGAAAAAAAGGCAACCTGTTTTACTAGGCTGTCTCTAAAGTATATACAAGATGTAATAAATTACATTCCCAATTTGACAGATTTTAAGATTTAGGTTCAAATCTGAAATCTGCGATTTTTAACCATTTTTCCCAGCATGTCCCAAATATAAAAGTGAAAGAGAAAATCCATACTCAGAACTTTTTAAACTACACTGACCTTTGGACCTCCCTTGGTGATTAAAGACATTTAGAATGATCCCTGATTTTAGAATGGTGGTAGGACATGTAGATTCACTTGCATTTCTTCTTTTTTTTAAAGCCTGTTCTTTTAACAGGAGAGGCTGGAGGGGATTTTAGATGTTTCTATTTTTTTTTTTTATATCTTTTTTATATTAATCATTGTTTTTCCCTTTACCGTGGACTAGAGTTATTTTTTTTATTTGTCTTTTATATTTAAAACACAGACAAATGGTAATTAATTCTCCCTAAATATTTGCAGTAGCAAAAAGGAAAACCATATACATTATACATGCTGAAATCTGAAGAAATAATTTTTTTTTGCCCTCCTCCATTAAACGTAAATCAGATTGTACTGATTCTGATGCAGAAAGTATTTTTTTTTATGAAGTCACATTTAAAAGAAGACCCTTCCTGATATCCTAACTTCTTTGTGCTGCAGTTTCTTCCTCTATAAAGTGAGGATGATAATAGTGCCTATTCCATAAGGCTGTTTTGAAGATTAAATGAGTTTATATATATTAAGCACTTAAAACCATGACTAGCGTATAGCTGTAAGTTTTTTTGCTACCATTAATTTTGTGTTGGTTTGCTCAATATTATAACTCTATAGTATTATTTTTTTTTACCCTCAAGTGACCTAACAAACTATTAGGAGGTCAAAGTCTTTTTTTTTTTTTTTTTTTTTTTTTGAGACGATCTACTCCGTTGCCAGGCTGGAGTGCGTGGCACAATCTCGGCTCACTGCAACCTCCGCTCCCAAGATCAAGCAATTCTCCTGCCTCAGCCTCCCAAGTAGCTGGGAACTACAGGTGTGCGCTCCAATGCCTGGCTACTTTTTGTATTTTACTTTTTGTATTTTAGACAGGTTTCACATATTGGCCAGGATGGTCCTTGATCTCTTGACCTCGTGATCCACCCGCCCTCAGCTTCCGAAAGTGTGGGATTACAGGCGTGAGCTTGGCAAAGTAATTACAAGTGTAATTACTAGATTCTTCTCTTAAAGTATCTTAACAAGACAGGAAATTTGTCTCAGTAGACTTGTTGAGAGTAAACCATTCATATGTTACCAGATAGTGAATTTGTGACAGTACAGTGTTTCTTTTTAGCAATCTGATTTTTGACCCCATTTTATTACTTTAACTAATTTAGCAAATAACTCTTGCCCTGGCTGATGTGCTACCTTGCTAATATCTTGCAGAATCTAATAAAATTTATTAAAAAGTAGTAACTCTGCAGTGTGGTAATCAAATTGTGATTTTTACTTTTCTATAAGTTATCGTTGGCTGTAAGCATGTTGAGCTTTAGGCTAAATTTGCAGTGAGATATGAGTCATGATGGAAATAACAATCAATTCACAACTCAGTTTGACTGGCATTATTGCTTTCATGTTTGTGCCAGTTTTAATATTGGCTGGCATTCATGATTTGGTTTGATTTATGCTTGCTTCCCTTTGCCAACCTATATATTCCTAAACTACATTGGGACTTAACTAACAATGTAATTTAGATATTTGGAATAAAGGGAGAATTTTTTCTACAGAGACTTGGTAGATGAGGCTAAAAACTACCTCCTGTTGCCGCAAGAACGACCACTAATGCAAGGACCAAGGACAAGACCACGGAAACCTATCCGATGTGGGGAAGTACTCTTTGCAGGTTTGGATGTTATACTGTTAGTAAATTGAGTATTTTCCCATGTGAGAAATTATCATTTGAATAGTCCTTTGGACAATTGTGATATTTACTGTCATAAGAAACAAATAATAAGTCAGCATGTAGCTTGACTCTTAACCCATGATTCAACACTGATATACTCCAAAAGAGTGCTCTATTTTTTTTCTCATTCAACACCTTTAATATCTATTTTTATATAAATTGAAAAATGTTGGCTGGGCACAGTGGCTCATGCCTATAATCCCAGCATTTTGGGAGGCCAGGCGTTTGAGACCAGTCTGGGCAATATAGGGAGGCCCCATCTTTACAAAAAAATAAGAAAAACAATTAGCTGAATGTGGTAGTACATGCCTGTAGTCCCAGCTACTTGGGAGGCTGAGACAGGAGGATGGCTTGAGCCTAGGAGGTCAAGGCTGCAGTGAGCTGTGATTGTACCACTGTACTCCAGCCTTGGGAACAGAACAAGATCCTGTCTCAAAAAATAAAAAATAAAAATGTCATGCAGTAGATGTTTTGTTGAAATGAGTCACATGCATTAATTTATATATCAATGTGCAGCTCATCTCATAATTACATGGAATTGTGAAAAACATATTAAACAATTATAATTTATTTCTCCTTTCTATGCATATCCATCTATAATTTCTCCATTCTATCCATATATACATATTATGTCGTAATCCTATTTGAATTGGTATCATTGCCCTCCTTTGTAAAACAGATGTAATACTAACTTATTTACAGAATTAATTAAAGATTATAACAATCCCAGGGGAATGAGTTAAAGTCATAACTTGCATTTTGGCTTACTGCTAGAGACATTTGGTGAGTCTAAGCATTAGGTCACGGTGAAGTTCATAGTGAGTGTTACATTCTGTGCTTCAGGATAGGATTCTCTTGACCATTTCTGTTACTTCCCCAGTTGGTGGTTGGTGCAGTGGAGATGCCATTTCCAGTGTTGAACGATATGATCCACAGACCAATGAATGGAGAATGGTGGCTTCAATGAGCAAAAGGAGATGCGGAGTTGGGGTCAGTGTTCTTGATGATCTGTTATATGCAGTAGGAGGCCATGATGGATCCTCTTATCTCAACAGTGTTGAAAGGTGAGTAAGGTCAATCTGTAATTTTCTGTCTACTATTCATATAGTTTTATTTGAGATTTTAATTAGGAATCAAATGTGACTTAATGCTTTAGTATTGCATCTGTGGCACTAGTTGGCAACCTAAACAAGTTAGTATGATACACAAATTCTTTATGATTTGGTCTCCACCTATTTCTCTAGTCTGTCTCCCATGACATACTACCCCTCCCTAAGCATGCTACTGCAGACACATCAAATTGCCTGCAGTTCCTTGGACATGCTGTCTTCCTTCATACCTCTCTCCTTACATATGCATGCTGTTCTTTTTTCCCTGGGATACTTCTGCCATTTTAAGACTTACATTTCCTTTGGCTGGGCGCAGTGGCTCACGCTTGTAATCCCAGCTACTCAGGAGGTTGAGGCAGGAGAATGGCCAGAACCCGGGAGGCCTGGGCAAAAGAGCGAGACTCCTTCTCAAAAAAAAAACTTAACATTTCCTTCAAGACACAAATGTTACTTATTACATACAACTTTCTGTGATACCGTATAGATGAGTTAGTTACTACTTACTTGTTCCTTTGCCTTCCATAAGTATTTGAACATGTTTGTACATATCCATCACATTGTACTGTACGTGTTGAAATGTATTTCACTATAATATCTATCGTAGTTACTGGGCACATTGGGAATCTATAGTAACTGATGTTTCCATAGCTTTTTGCTCTCAAGAAGTTGTGTTGATTAACAGTGACTCTTAATTTCCATAACACATCTATGAAATGCTGCAGTTTTAAGGGTATAGATTGTGCAGCTGGGGAAAAAAATCTTAAAAAGTAGAGGGATCAGTCCCATAGAAGTAAAAAGCTGCAACATGGAGAAACCTCATCTCTACAAAAAGTACAAAAAAATTACCAGTTGTAGTGGTGCACGCCTGTAGTCCCAGCCACTCAGGAGACTGAGGCATGGGGCCCGCTTGAGCTTGGGAAGTAAAGGTTGCCATGAGATGATATTGCGCCATTGCACTCTAGTCTGGGTGACAAAGCAAGACTCTCTCAAAAATAAAATAAAATAAAACAACACACACACTTAAAAATAAATTGATGACATCACAGAAGGGAAAAATAAATTGATGGCATCGCAGAAGGGATCATGGCGGACGGGAGGCAGGACTAGATTGAAGCTCCGGCTTGACTGTAAATTTTAGCTCCAGATTGACTGCAAGAAAAAATCAGCAATATCAAGAGGACCCACAGACCCTCTGAAGAAAGCAGACTGCTCCTTCAGGACCTGGGAGAAACCCCACATACTGTGAGTGCCCCAACTGCAGAAGTGGGAAAGGGAGACCCTCCTCTTCCAAACACACACCCCCACTGGAGAAGCTGAAGGTCTGTTCACAGGAGAAATTTCCAACTTTACCTGGAGCTGAGTCAAGTTAGAGAGCCAAGCGAAATACAGGGGTAGAGGAAGCAGCAGAAAGGCCCTGGGAGTTCGCTGGGTCCAAATGGTGGCCAAGCAGGCCTAGCACCACTGGGATCCATCGGGAGGGTGGCCAGAGGAGCAGGGGATAAAACTCCCCAGGGAGAAGGAATTCTCTAGCTGACCTTTGTAACAATTTGAACAGGGGGAGAAGCCTCCTGGCCAGAACGCAAGGGAGGGTGCAAATCCTGCGTGCAGACTTCACTGGCAGGGAGAGAAGTAAAACCCTTTTCTCTTGCAGCTGGGAGGTGGATAGCCTCGGGCAAGTTTTCAAGCCTGTCGCCCGTGGCCTGGAAACAGACTCAGAGTTGTGAGGCAGGTACGGTGGGAGTGAGACCGGCCCTTCAGTTTGTGTGGGAGCTGAGTGAGGCCTGTGACTACCGGCTTTCCCCCACTTTCCTGACAACCTGCATGACTCAGCAGAGGCAGTCATAATCTTCCTAGCTACACAACTCAAGTGACCTGGGAATCTCTTCCCCCATCCCCAACAGCAGTCGCAGCAAGACCTGCCCAAAAAGAGTCTGAGCTCAGACATGCCTAATCCCGCCCCCACCTGATGGTCCTTCCCTGTCCACCCTGGTAGTGGAAGACAAAGGGCATATAATCTTGGGAGTTCTAGGACCCCACCTACCACCAGTTCCTCTCCATATTACTACAGCTGATGCTTTCTGGAAAGCACCACCTCCTGGCAGGAGGCCAACCAACACAAAAATAAAGCATTAAACCACCAAAACTAAGGACCCTCACAGAGTCCACTGCACCCTCCACCAGAACAGGCACTGGTATCCACAGCTGAGAGACCCATAGATGGTTCACACCACAGGACTCTGCAGACATCCCCTACTACCAGCCCAGAGCCAAGTAGACTCACTGGGTGGCTAGACCCAGAAGAGAGACAACAATCACTGCAATTTGGGTCACAGGAAGCCACATCCATAGGAAAAGAGGGAGAATACTATATCAGGGGAACACTTCGTGGAACAGAAGAATCTGAACAACAGCCTTCATCCCTAGACCTTCCCTCTGACAGAGGCTACCCAAATGAGAAGGCACCAGAAAACCAACCCTGGTAACATGACAAAACAAGGCTCTTCAACACCCCCCAAAAAAATCATACTAATTCACCAGCAATGGATCCAAATCAAGAAGATTCCCTGATTTACCTGAAAAAGAATTCAGGAGGTCAGTTATTAAGCTAATCAGGGAGGGACCAGAGAAAGGTGAAGCCCAATGCAAGGAAATCCAAAAATGATACAAGAAGTGAAGGGAGAAACACTCAAGGAAATAGATAGCTTAATGAGAAAACAAAAATTCAGGAAACTTGGGACACACTTTTAGAAATGCAAAATGCTCTAGAAAGTCTCAGTAATAGTATTGAACAAGTAGAAGAAAGAAATTCAGAGCTCAAAGACAGGGTCTTTGAATTAACCCAATCCTACAAAGACAAAGAAAAAAGAATAAGAAAATATGAACAAGCCTCCAAAAAGTCTGGAATTATGTTAAACAACCAAAATAAGAATAACCAGTTTACCCAAGGAAGAAGAGAATTCTAAAAGCCTGGAAAACATACTCGGGGGAGTAATCAAGGAAAATTTCCCCAGCCTTGTGAGAGACCTAAACATCCAAATATAGGAAGCACAAAGAACACCTGTGAAATTCATCACAAAAAGATCTTTTCTTAGTCACGTTGTCATCAGGTTATCCAAACTCAAGATGAAGGAAAGAATCAAGAGCTGTGAGACAGAAACACTAGGTAACTTATGAAGGAAAACCTATCATTAACAGCAGATTTCTCAGTGGAAACCCTGCAAGCTAGAAGGGATTGGGGACCTATCTTCATCCTCCTCAAACAAAACAATTATCAGCCAAGAATTTTGTATCCAGTAAAACTAAGCCTTATATATGAAGGAAAGATAAGCCGTTTTCAGACAAACAAGTGCTGAGATAATTTGTCGTTACCAAATCACCACTACAAGAACTTCTAAAAGGAGCTCTAAATCTTGAAACAAATCCTAGAAACACATCAAAACAGAACCTCTTTAAAACATAAATCACAAAGAACCTATAATGCAAAAATACAAGTTAAAAAGCAAAAACAAAAAACAAAACCAAAGTACACAGGCAACAAAGAGCACAATGAAAGTAACGCTACCTCACATTTAAATCCTAACATTGAATGTAAATGACCTAAATGCTCCACTTAAAAGGTACAGAACTGCAGAATGGATAAGAACTCACCAACCAACTATCTGCTGCCTTCAGGAGACTCACCTGACACCTAAGAACACACATAAACTTAAAGCAGTGGAAAAAGGCATTTCATTCAAATAGACACCAAAAGCGAGCAGGGGTAGCTGTTCTTATATCAGACAAAACAAACTTTAAAGCAACAGTGGTTAAAAGAGACAAAGAGGGACAGTATATAATGGTAAAAGGCCTTGTCCAACAGGAAAATATCATAGTCCTAAACATATATGCACCTAATGAGCTCCTAAACTTATAAAACAATTACTAATAGACCCGAGAAATGAGATAGACAGCAACACAACAATAGTGGGAGACTTCAGTACTCCACTGACAGCACTAAACAGGTCAAGACAGAAATTCAACAAAGAAACAATGAATTTAAACTATACTTTGGAAAAAATGGATTTAACAGATATATACAGAACATTTCATCCAAAAACCACAGGATACACATTCTATTCAACAGCTCATGGAACTTTCTCCAAGATAGACCATAAGATAGGCCATAAAATGAGCCTCAATAAACTTAAGAAAATTGAAATTATATCAAGCACTCAGACCACAGTGGAATAAAACTGGAAGTCAACTCCAAAAGGAACCTTCAAAACCATGCAAAAACATGGAAATTAAATAACCTGCTCCTGAATGAGCATTGGGTCAAAAATGAAATCAAGATGGAAATTTAAAAATTCTTCGAACTTAATGACAATAATGACACAACCTATCAAAACCTCTGGGAGACACAACAAAGGCAGTGCTAAGAGGAAAGTTCATAGCCCTAAATGCCTGCATCATCAAGAAGTCTGAAAGAGCAAAGACAATCTAAGGTCACACCTCAAGGAACTAGGGAAACAAGAACAAACCAAACCCAAAGGAAATAACCGAGATCAGAGCAGAACTACATGAAATTAAAACAAACAAAAAAAAATACAAAAGATAAATGAAGCAAAAAGCTAGTTATTTGAAAAGATAAATAAAATTGATAGACCATTGGCAAGATTAACCAAGAAAAGAAGAGAAAATCCAAATAACCTCACTAGAAAACGAAACAGGAGCTATTACAACTGACACTGAAATATACCAAAGATCATTCAAGGCTACTATAAACAAGTTTACACATATAAACTAGAAAACCTAGAAGAGATGAATAAATTCCTGAAAAAATGCAACCCTCCTATCTTCGGAAGAATTAGATACCCTGAACACACCAATAACAAGCAGCAAGATTGAAGTGGTAATTTAAAAATTACAACAAAAAAAAAGTCCAGGACCAGACAGATTCACAGCAGAATTCTACCAGACATTCAAAGAAGAATTGGTACCAATCCTTTTGACACTATTCCACAAGATAGAGAAAGAAGGAACCCTCCCTAATAATTCATAATTCATTCTGTGAAGCTAGCATCACCCTAATACCAAAACCAGGAAAAGACATAACCAAAAAAGAAAACTAAAGACTGGTATCGATGAGCATAGATGCTAAAATCCTTAACAAAATACTAGCTAACCGAAAAAAGATAATCCACCATGATCAAGTGTGTTTCATGCCAGGGATGCAGGGATGGTTTAACATACGCAAGTCAATAAATGTGATACACCACATAAACAGAATTAAAAACAAAAATCACATGATCATGTCAATAGATGCAAAAAAAGCATTTGACAAAACTCAGCGTTCCTTTATGATTAAAACTCTCAACAAAATTGGCATACAAGGGACATACTTTAATGCAATAAAAGCCATCTATAACAAACCCACAGACAACATACTGAATGGGGAAAAGTTGAAAGCATTTCCTGTGAGCATGAGAAAAAGACAAGGATGCCCACTTTCACCACTCCTCTTCAACATAGTACTAGAAGGCCTGGCCAGAGCAATCAGACAAGAGAAAGAAATAAAGGGCATCCAGATCAGTAAAGAGGAAGTCACATTGTCACTGTTTGCTGATGATAGGATCGTTTACCATGAAAATCCTAAGGACTCCTCTAGAAAGCTCCTATAACTGATAAAATAATTCAGCGAAGTTTCCAGATATAAGATTAATGTACAAAAATCAGTAGCTCTTCTATACACCAACAGCAACCAAGCGGAGAATGAAATCAAGAACTTAACTTTTTTTACAATAGCTGCAAAAAAAATAAATAAAATACTCAAGAATATACCTAACAAAGGAGTCAAAAGACCTCTACAAGAAAAACTACAAAACAGTGCAGAAAGAAATCATAGATGCCACAAACAAATGGAAACACATCCCATGCTCATGGATGGGTAGAATCAATATTGTGAAAATATTGCCAAAGCAATCTACAAATTCAATGCAGTCACCATCAGAATACCACCATCATTCTTCACAGAATTAAAAAAAAAAAAAATTATAAAGATCATATGGAACCAAAAAAGAGCCTGCATAGCCAAAGCAATACTAAGCAAAAAGAACAAATCTGGAGGCATCACACTACCTAATTTCAAACTATACTGTAGAGTCATAGTCACCAAAACAGTGTGGTACTCGTATAAAAATAGGCATATAGACCAATGGAACAGAATAGAGAACCCAGAAATAAACCCAAATACTTACAGCCAACTGATCTTCGACAAAGCAAAGAAAAACATAAAGAGGGGCAAGAACACTCTTTTCAACAAATGGTGCTGGGATAATTAGCTAGCCACATGTAAGGAAACGAAACTGGATCCTCATCTCTCACATTATACAAAAATCAACTCAAGATGGATTAAGGACTTAAACCCTAAGACCTGAAACTGTAAAAATTCTAGAAGATAACATTGGAAAAACCCTTCTTGATATTGGCTTAGGCAAGGATTTCATGACCAGGGACCCAAAAGCAAATGCAATAAAAACAAAAGATAAATAGCTGGAACCTAATTAAACTGAAGAGCTGTTGCATGGCAAAAGGAACAGTCAGCAGAGTAAAGAGACAACCCACAGAGTGTGAAAAAATCTTCGCAATCTATACATCTGAAAAACAACTAATATCCGGAATCTACAACGAACTGAAGTCAGTGAGAAAAAAAATCCTATCAGAAAGTGGGCTTAGGACATGAATAAACAGTTCTCAAAAGAAAATATACAAATTGCCAACAAACATGAAAAAATGCTCAACATCACAATGATCAGGGAAATGCAAATGAGAACCACAATGTGATACCACCTTACTCCTGCAAGGATGGCCATAATAAAAAAATCAAAAATCAGTAGATGTTGGCGTGGATGCTGTGAACAGGGAACACTTCTACACTGCTGGTGGCAATGTAAACTAGTACAGCCACTATGGAAAACAGTGCAGAGATTCCTTAAAGAACTAAAAGTAGAACTACCATTTGATCCAGTAATCCCACTACTGGGTATCTACCCAGAGGAAAAGAAGTCATTAATCAAAAAAAATACTTGTACACGCACGTTTCTAGCAGCCCAATTCACAATTGCAAAATCGTGGAAGCAAACCAAATGCCCATCAATCAATGAGTGGATAAAGAAACTGTGGTGTATATAGACGATAGAATACTATGCAGCCATAAAAAGGAATGAATTAACAGCATTTGCAGTGACCTGGATGAGATTGGAGACTATTATTCTAAGCAATGCAACTCAGAATGGAAAACCAAACATCATATGTTCTCACTGATATGTGGGAGCTAAGCTATGAGGACTCAAAGGCATAAGAATGATACAATGTACTTTGGGGACTTGGGGGGAAGAGTGAGAGGGGGTCGAGGGATAAAAGATTACAAATATGGTGCCATGTATACTGATGCATGCACTAAAATCTCATAAATCACCACTAAAGAACTTACTCATGTAACTAAATACCATGTGTACCCCAATACCCCAATAACTTATGGGGAAAAACAAAAGAACACATCCCAGTTAAAAAAAAATTGATGGGTTAAAGAAATAAGAGTAGAAATAGCTAGATGTTTATACTTTAACAATTTAGCCTATGTATATCAAAGTGGATAGAATGCAACTAAAGTGGTACCCAGAGGCAAATTTACATGAATTTTAGCTTAGATACATTAATATAACTTACATGCATTTGGAAATAAGAAAGATACAAAATAAATGAATCATGCTTTTAAATCATCACTAAACAATAAAACCCAACAAATAAATCAGTGAAATTGAAAAAAGAAGATATAACTACAAAAAGAGCAATTTGATAGTATTTTTAAAAATTAAGCATACTCGGCCAGGCACGGTGGCTTGCACTTGTAATCTCAGCTCTTTGGGAGGCCAAGGTGGGTGGATCACGAGGTCAGGAGATCAAGACAATCCTGGCTAACACGGTGAAACCCCGTCTCTACTAAACATACAAAAAAATGAGCCGGGTGTTGTGGCAGGCGCCTATAGTCCCAGCTACTCAGGAGGCTGAGGCAGGAGAATGGCGTGACCCCAGGAGGCGGAGCGTGCAGTGAGCCAAGATTGTGCCACTATACCCCAGCCTGTGCAACAGAGCCAGACTCCATCTCAAAAAAAAAAAAAATTAAGCATACTATTTGCTACAGTAATTCTACCTATCACCCATTCACACAAAGAGAAATGTACAAGGATGAACATCGTTTTTAATTGCAAAATATTAGAAACAGCCTAAGGGGTATATCAGTAGGAATATAATTAAATAATGTACAGCAAATATAATAGTACAATAATTAAAAAGAAAAATCTGGAGCTATATTAGCATAAATAGATTTCAAAAAATGTTGAGGGAAAAAGCAGTGCCTACTGTGTGGTATTATTTATGTGAAGAAAACATGCTTGCATATAAAGAAATATATATATGTGGATACATATATACCTATATATAGTTTACTGAAAAGTCTTGAAGGATATATGCCAAATCAAAATGGGAAGAGACTGGAATTCAGGTGGAACTCAAGGAGGGATTTAGCTTTATCAATAATATTCTGATTTTTTAAAAGAAAATATATTCATACATAAATTTCAAAAAATAAAAACACCAGATTTTCAAATGTTTTAGTTGTTATTAATCAGCTCATACTTAGGGGACAGAATATATATCGTATAAATCCATGGATTTAGAATATGTAAACATAGCCAAGCATCCTTTGTGTAATACAGACTCTCCTCTTGGTATGTTCTTTTCAGGTATGACCCCAAAACAAACCAGTGGAGCAGTGATGTGGCCCCTACAAGCACCTGCAGGACAAGTGTTGGTGTAGCAGTACTTGGAGGCTTTCTCTATGCTGTGGGTGGCCAGGATGGCGTGTCTTGCCTCAACATTGTTGAGAGGTGATTTTTTTTTAAGTCATTTTCTGTATTTTTATTTTAAAGAACATAGAGCTCTTTAAAAGAAACAAGTACAGGCCGGGCATGGTGGCTCACACCTGTAATCCTAGCACTTTGGAAGGCCAAGGCAGGTGGATTGCTTGAGCTCAGGAGTTCAAGACCAGCCTAGGCAACATGGTGAGATTAAAAAAAACAAAAAAATTAGCCAGGCATGGCGGTGCATGCCTGTAGTCCCAGCTACTTGTGGGGCTGAGGCGAGAGGATCACTTGAGCCCAGGAAGTTGAGGCTGCAGTGAGCTGAGATCATGCCACTGCACTCCAGCCTGGGTACAAAATGAGACCCTATATCAAGGAAAAAAAAAGAAAAGAAACAAGTGCAGCTGAATTTAGGACATTGGAGGATCCACTATTCAGTGGCTTTCCCATAGGCTTTCAGGAAAAAGTCTTCAGTTGATCTTAAAGTCTAGGAAAATGAAAGATCTAAAAAAAGTTTTTTTTTAATTAACAAAAGTTGTATATATTCATAGTGTACAGCATGATGTTTTGAAATATGTATAGCTGGTGGAATGGCTAAATCAAGCTAATTAACATATTTATTACCTCACATACTCATGATTTATTTGTGGTGAGAACACTTAAAATCTACTCTCAAGTGTATAATACATTGTTATTAACTATAGTTACTATGTTGTACATTAGAGTCCTTGAATTTATTCCTTCTCTCTAACTGAAATTTTGTATTCATTTACCAAGATTTCCTCACTGCCCCTCACCTTGCCGGCCCCTGGTAACCACCATTCTACTCTCTACTTCCATGAGTTCAACTTTTTTAGATGCTTTATATAAGTGAGATCATGCAATATTTGTCTGTGTTTAGCTTGTTTCACTTAATGTCCTCCAGGTTTATCCATGCCATCACAAATGCCAGGATTTCCTTCTTTTTTAAGACTGAATAGTATTCTATTCATATATGCCATATTTTCTGTATCCATTCATCTGTTGAAGTACATTTAGCTTAACTTCATAACTTGTCTATTGTAAATAATGCTGCAATGAATATGAAAGTACAGGTAATCTCTTCAACATACTTATTTCCATTGAATATATACTTAGTAGTGGGATTACTGGATCATATGATAGTTGTATCTTTAATTTTTCGAGGAACCGCTGTACTGTTTTCTGTAATGGCTATACTAGTTTACATTCTCATCAATAGAGTGCAAGGGTTTCCTTTTCTCCATATTCTTGCCAATATTTATCTTTCTTTTTTTATATAGTAGCCATTCTAACAGGTGTGACATGATATTTCGTTGTGATTTTAATTTGCATTTCCCTGATGATCAGTGATATTGAGCATTTTCTCATATTATTAGATTAGCCATTTGTATGTGTTTCTTTTGAAAAGTATCTGTTCAGGTCCTTTGTCCATTTTTAAATCAGATTATTTGTTTTCTTGCTGTTGAGTTGTTAAGTTCCTTATATATTTTCAGTATTAACCTTTTATGAGATGTATGGTTTGCAAATATGTTCTCCCACTCTGTAGATTGTCTCTTCACTCTGTTGATTGTTTCCTTTGCCATGCAGAAGCCTTTTAGTTTGACATAATCTTACTTTTTTTGCTTTTGTTGCCTATGCTTTGGGGCACATAACCTGAGTTTTTCAACTGTCACGTTGATTGTACCTAACATTGAAATGTTAGAAAAGTATTTCAGATTACGTTCTATATATATCAAGCATACCACTTGTGAAATCTGTTCTGATTTTTTTCCCGAATCTACCTGGAGTGTACTTAATGCATGACTCTACTCAGACTTCCCTCAGAGAAATGATTAAGTAATAATACTTTGTATAGGACATCTGATAAAAAGCTTAAAGTATTTTGTATATAGACTCTCATTAATCATTGAAGTATGCTTAGGGAAATCTAGGTGGGCTGCCATAGTCACTTTATACTAGTGTACAAATAGTTAATTTTGGTGGAACAGATTTTGTTCTTAATTTCTTCTGTCAGCTTTTCATCATTAGATTTTAGAGTCTCATGTGGTATGATTACTGATAACAACATATATTTCATCCTTCTTAAAAAGAAATGCGTCATGACTAAAATTTTTGAGGTAGCATTTGCTAGTTTACCATGTATATGTTGAAAAGTTTAACTGTTGTCAGTACAGATAAAATAGAAGGTAACTCTTGAAAGCTATGCCAGTTGCCTTTTATCTCTCTGTCAAGATTTTTTCACTTTCAAAACTCAGTACAGGAGGTTAGCAGCAGTGATGGCATAGTTTTTTAATATCTCCAAATGCCCACGTAAAAACAGATAGAGTAATAGATAGCAAAGCTAAAAACCTATGTACTAGTTCTGGAGATTGGAGTTACACAACAATGTGAATATACTTAACACTACTAAACAGTTAAAACATGGTTAAGATGGTAAATTTTATGTTATATTATGTGTATTTTACCACAATTTAAAAATCAGAACCTGTGAACAAAATTAAAGACAAAACTAAAGGAAAGGATATCCTCACAAACTCCAAAACACAAACGGGCAAAGACAAACTACCTTTAGCCACAAGACCTGCATGGTATTAGTATCTTCAGGAGAAATCAGAAAGAAGCAACTGGATGTCTGACAGATCTAAGAACAAAAGAACCTCAAACTAGCTAATACATAGTCACTAGAAATCACAAGGGGAAAATTTATCAGCAACTGAAACTAGGACCAGTTTTGTCCACTGCCAGAGAGTGTAAGTGTAAGACCTCAATAAGACCTGAAGGATTTAGAAGAGCGTTTCTCAACCTCAGCACTACTGGCGTTTTGGGTCAATTATTTGTTGTGGGGGACTGTCCTGTGCATTGTAGGATGTTTAACAGCATCCATAGCCTCTACCAACTAAGTGTCAGAAGCACATGCCTGGTTGTGATAACCAAAAATGTCTCCAAACATTGCCAGATGTTACCTAGGGGATGAGAAAGGGGGGATGAAGGGGAAAAAAATAACACCTGGTTGGGAACCAGCTGGGTTAGAACCATCTAGTCCCTGGGAACTCTCAAAACTGAGCAGCCAGGATAACCTTCCAGGTCAGGACTCTACACTGAGGAGAAACTTCTGGGAGTAGAATCAAAATTAAGCAGGATGAGGGCAACAGATGCCCTTGTTTTCCTTGAAAAGAGAAAGCCAAGACAAAAGTAAGGCAGTGAATAGTCAGTAAATCATTGGACTAGGCGCTGTGGCTCACACCCATAATCCCAACACTTTGGGAGGCCTAGGTGGGAGGGTTGCTTGAGTCCAGGATTTCAAAACTAGCCTGGGCAACATAGTGAAACCTTGTCTCTCCAAAAAATAAAAAAATTAGCCAGGCGTAGTGGCACACGCCTGTGGTCCCAGTTACTCAGGAGGCTGAGGTGAGAGGATTGCTGGGAGGTCAAGGCTGCGGTGAGCCATGATCGCTCCACTGCACTCCAGCCAGGGTAATAGAGTGAGACCTTGTCTCAAAAAAAAAAAAAAAAAAAAATTTAAGGATACCTAATTCTTTTTGATGTGATTATTTCACATTGCATGCATGCATCAAAACATCTCATATACCCCATAAATATATACACAAAAATTAAAAATAAATAATCTCTGAAGGCAAGGCACTATATTTTTTAATACTACATTAAAAAAAGAAGGAGCTCCACAAAGTTTGAAAAACTATCACAAACCAAACCACTCACTCCTATTTCTAAAAGTTCAGGAAAACTCACTTCATGTAAAAATGAAATAGCAAAGTATTGAGATTAGATTCCATACAAAGTGAATATAAGAAGAGAGAATAAGCAGCAGAATAACATCTCTACAGAAAATAAAAGCACACTAGAAAGACACACCTACACATCAAAACCTTAACTGTTTCAAAATGTGATAAAAGACATTAAGGAAATGATACAAGATATGAAACTACATAAATCAGAAGTAGAAAAATTCAGAAGTGAGGTGACAGAACTCAGAAAAGTATTAGAAATGAAAGGAAAAATCATTTCAGAATGAAGATTAAAGGAGAATAAGCAAAACAGATAATGCCATAAGACAAATAGAAGTCAAAAAGAGGAAATATTTTAAGGTCAAAAAGAAATCAAGGGCGGGCACAGTGGCTTATGCCTGTAATCCCAGCACTTCGGGAGGCTGAAGGAAGGGGTGGAGCACCTGAGGTCAGGAGTTCAAGACCAGCCTGACTAACATGGTGAAACCCCGTCTCTACTAAAAATACAGAATTAGCCAGATGTGGTGGCAGGCACCTGTAATCCCAGCTGCTTGGGAGGCTTGAACCCAGGAGGTGGAGGTTGCAGTGAGCCAAGATCGCGCCATTGAGCTCCACCATGGTCATCAAGAGCAGAATTCTCTCTCAAAAAATAAATAAATAAATAGAAAAAAATCAAGAAAGCATTTGAGAGATAGCAACAAATATTGAAAATAGGTAAAAATCTATATTATACAGATCATAGCAGTCCTTAAAGAAGAAAACCAAAGTGACGAAACAGAACGAATACTAAGAACTGTAATTCAAAATTACTTTCCTGTAATTAAAAAAAATTGAAACTTTTTTGAAAGAATACACTATATCCTTCAAATATTGACCCAGAACACCAAGACATATGCAATAATATGACTGTACCTTAAAGAAAAAATTATTTAGCTATCTACAAAAAAGTACATGTTACTTATAAGGAAAAGAAACTTAGATTATCATCTGGCTTTTCAAAAGTGGTACTTCATGCCAGAAGAAAATAGAATGGCATGTTTTAGATATTCAAGAAAAATGTGAGCCAAGGATTTTATACCTTGAGAAACCGACTTTGAAGTACAAAGGGCACAGACAACTGTTATCAACATGTAAGAGATTAGGGAATCTTGTTCTCTTGAGCCCTGTAGGAGAACAAACTTCGGACAAAATTACTAGAAAGACATTGACAGAAAGGCTGGACCACATGGTTCACACCTGTAATCTCAGCACTTTGGTAAGCCAAGGTGGGAGGATCGCTTGAGACTAGGAGTTCAAGGCTGCAGTGAGCCATGATCATATCACTGCACTTTAGCCTGAGTGACAGAGCAAGACCCTGCCTCAAATAAATAAATACAGTTAATTGTAGAACTATGACTAAATGAAGATTAAAAGGGAGGGCTGGGTGCTTGGATTATAGGCTCTGACCTATAATTCCAGCACTTTGGGAGCCGAAGGTAGAAGTATCACTTGAGGCCAGGAGTTTGAGACCAACCTAGGCAACATAGTAAGACCCTATATCTTAAAAATGTATATATGTATATTTTTTAATTAGCCATTCATGGTGGTGCGCACTTGTAGTCTCAGCTACTCAGAAGGCTAAGACAGGAGATTTCTTGAGCCCAGGAGTTCAAGATTATAGTGAGGTGTGATTGCACCACTGTACCCCAGCCTGGGTGACAGACTGACCCTGTCTCTAAAAATAAAAATAAAAGGGAGAGAGTGTAGCATGCTCTAGCTATGTACTCAATCCATGTAAATGTAGTACAAAGAAGAGGTATGCAAAAAGGAATTTTAATTGTTCTAAGGGATATTAGTGATAATATTGCTATTCTGCTATGTGTATAAATTTAGAATAAAGGAAATGAGTGTGGATTATTCTAATTCTGTTCTCTCCTTTGTCCTTGAAAACCAGAGTGTGGAGGTAGAAGAAGATAAGGTTGTAAAATAGAAGTTAAATAAAGTATCTCGTAGTCCTGAGTATGAATTTGAACTAAATTCTTCTTTTGAAAAAATTTCTATATATTCTAGCTTGTCAACTGAGAAAGCCTAGAAATAAAGTGTCAGTGAACATCTCTGCGCCCAGATTGTATCTTGAAATATTATTTCCCACTTAAACCAGAGCCTTATTGGAAAAATGTCTGATTCTAGGTTTAGGACAGGAAATGTGCAGATGAGTCTGTACCCTCTTGTCATACCAAATAGCAAGCAAGCTGTCAGAGACTGCTAAGAGTCGAAAAGACTCAGCCAACTTGAAGATGTTCCCACTGACCAAAGATAAGATAATTTCAGCTTTAAAAGGGATAATTGCAATAGATTTAAATCCAATAAATACACTTAAATCTATGAGTTCTTAATGTTAAATTTTTTAAGACTAATTGGTTGCCTTTGGAAGATCATAGGGAACAAATTTATTATCTCAAAACATGTAAATAAAGTGAAAGGAGAGAGCATATATCCTGCCTTTCTTATATGAACTGTATTATTATATCAATTGAGTAACCAAATAGTAGATAAAAGGATTGTTTCTTTATAAAATTATCCCAATAAAATAAAATAAGTGATAGAATACTGTCATTTTGAAACACTCAGTGAATTAGTGTATTCAGACATTGATAAACAGCTGCTAACATACCACCTTCTGTAGTCTTGTTTAAGGAATCAAACATGGTCTGATCAAAGTTCTAGATCCAACTACCAATTTGCCCAACATAAAAAGGACAGAGCAACAGATTGAACTGCACTATGAATGTACGGTCAACCAAATCCATATTATGGGGAAAACTGTCATACACTCTAGGTTCTAAAACAGATGAATTGCAGGGAGGAAAAGGAATGGAGGGAAAACCTGTAGACAATAAGAGACTCTTTAATTTTTTTAGAGACAGGGTCTCACTCTGTCGCCCAGGCTAGAGTGCAGTGGTGTGATAATAGCTCACAACTGTGTCTCAAGCAATCCCTGCCTCAGCCTCCCAAGCAACTGGGACTGCAGGTGAACACCACCATGACTGGCTAATTTTTTTTTCCAATTTTTTTATAGAGATAAGGTCTCTCTGTGTTGACCAGGCAGGTCTTGAACTCGAACTCGTGGCCTCAAGCAGTCCTCCAGCCTTGGCCTTCCAAAGTGCTGGGATTACAGGTATGAGCCACCACACTCAGCCTTTTTTTAATTTAATTTTTATTTATTTATTTATTTATTTAAGTCTCAGCCAGGCACAGTGACTCACCTGTAATCTCAGTGCTTTGGGGGGCTGAGGTGAGAGGATTGCTTGAGGCCAGGAGTTTGAGACTAGCCTGGTCAACACAGCAAGACCCCTATTTTTAAATAAATATTAATGAAAATTTTTCTAAATGTAATGTTAAGTAAGACTGAAGTGTCTAGGGATGACACTTGAGTGATAAAACAATAAACACAAGGAAGTGATAACTGTTAAAAGTCAGGATAATGGTTATTTGTGGAGAGGAGAAGATAAGAGACTGGAAAAGGACACATTGCAGGGCTTCCAGAGTGGCATGCAAAGTTCTTTTTCTTGGCTTGGGTGGTGTTTACAAGGGGGCTTTCCTGATAATAACTCTTAAACTATACATTTATCTTGTGTGGCTCTCTGTATTTGAGCTTTATTTTATAATAAAAAGGTTGTTTCAAGAACTATGCAAAAGACTTCTACTTCCAAATAGGATATAGTAGAGAGTAACAGCCATCACCCCCACTACAACAACTAGGAAAAAAAGACAAATTACAAAAATCATTTTAAAATACATCAGAGGCATTTCAAAGATGACCAGATGAACTAAAATTCCATTGAAGAAAGAGCCTGTATTGCCGGCCGGGCGCGGTGTCTCATGCCTGTAATCCCAACACTTTGGGAGGCCCAGGCGGGCAGATCACGAGGTCAGGAGATCGAGAGCATTCTAGCTAACACGGTGAAACCCCATCTCTACTAAAAATACAAAAAATTAGCCAGGCGTGGTGGCAGGCACCTGTAGTCCCCACTGCTCGGGAGGCTGAGGCAGGAGAATGGCGTGAACCCGGGAGGTGGAGCTTGCAGTGAACCGAGATCGTACCACCGCACTCCAGCCTGGGCGACAGAGCAAGACTCCATCTCAAAAAAAAAAAAAAAAAGAAAGAAAGAAAGAGCCTGTGTTATGTGAACTGAGGTCATAGGTTGTTTTCTTCTTTCCTTGGGACATTTTCCAAGTCTGAGTGTAGAAAATAGCTTAATAGCTGACACAGATATAAATTCTAAGATGTTTTTCTAATGACTAAGTAAAATGTTAGATTTTCATTGCGCATTTGACTATAGCAAGTCTGTGTACTCAGTATATCTTTAGTGTGATTTCAGAGCTTATGAAAACGGCTTCACTTAATAAGAACAAGCATACAGTCTGGTTTCCCTCACTACAGGTATGATCCGAAGGAGAACAAGTGGACTCGGGTAGCTTCTATGAGTACCAGAAGACTAGGTGTGGCTGTGGCTGTGTTAGGAGGGTTCTTATATGCTGTAGGTGGCTCTGACGGGACATCTCCACTCAACACAGGTTAGTCCCTCCCAAAGGCAATCATGTTACCCAAAAGCAGAACGTTTTCCTGGAGAGTCCTCCTACAAAAAGTGTAGAAACTCCAGGTTACCCTGTAATTTACTAGGAAAATGCTTGATTTTCCCTCCAGCAGAGTGCAGCTCTCAGCTCTTCCTCAGCTCCTACTATAGTCATATTCTGAGTACATTCCCCAAATATTTGTTTCTTCCCCTGTTTTATAAGCTGCTGGAAATGTATAATGAATTTTAAAAACTACTTTCTTATATACTTTCTCATATAAGTAGTTCCTTTTCCTCCATCACAACTTCTCCTCAAAAAAACCTACAATATACCCTATATTATAATCTAAGAATAAATAAAAGCTTAGAACTACAAATTCGTTTGTTTGGGTTTTGTTTTTGTTTTTGTTTTTGTTTTTATGATAGGGTCTCGCTCTGTCACCCAGGCTAGAGTCCAGTGGCATGATCTTGGCTCACTGCAACCTCTACCTCCGGGGCTCAAGCAGTCCTCCCACTTCAGCCTCCCGAGTGGCTGGGATTATAGGTGTGTGCCACCAGGCCTGGCTGATTTTTGTATTTTTAGTAGAAATGGAGTTTCGCCATGTTGCCCAGGCTGGTCTCAAACTCCTGAGCTCAAGTGATCCACCCACCTCAGCCTCCTAAAGTGCTGGAATTATAAGCGTGAGCCACTGCACCTGGCCTGGTTTGTTATTCCTTTCTATTTAGATATTATGGGTATTTTTGCCTAAGGATATTGTCGATATGACAGTCACACCAGATTCATTGTCACATGTCTTCTCTTCAGAAGTTTAAAATGCACTATGCTATAGGGAAGGGAATATAGGAGTACAGAAGTTGTCTGATTATGATAATAAATTATTAGTACTGAATGATGCTTATTGATCATGTAGTCAGTGAGGCTGAGAGTCATGTAGCTAATTAGTCATTTAGATAAAACTAGAACCAGAGTATCTGGATCCCAACACATGCCCTTTCCACTGTACCATACCTAGAAGAAACCAGCCCCTGATGAGAGTATATGTGGTATTGTCCAGAGGTATACAAATCCTTCTCAGAAGCAAAAATCAGATCATGTGTTGAAAATATGTTATCACAAAATATCAGTGGCTATAAAGAAAACTGGAGGTGAGAGGAAATGGTTGAATGCTCACTTACTGGTTTTTCTTTTCCCTACAGTGGAACGTTACAATCCTCAGGAAAACAGATGGCACACTATAGCCCCTATGGGGACCCGGAGGAAACACCTAGGCTGTGCAGTGTATCAGGACATGATCTATGCTGTAGGAGGTAGAGATGACACTACAGAGCTGAGCAGTGCTGAGAGATACAACCCCAGAACCAACCAGTGGTCTCCGGTGGTGGCCATGACATCACGCCGTAGTGGAGTAAGTGGAGTTATGGACACTTAGGTTGCTTCCAAATCTTGGCTATTAATAGTGCTGCAATAAACATGGGAGTGTAGATATCTCTTCAATATACTGATTTCCTTTCTTTGGGGTATATACCTAGCAATTAGATTGCTGGATCATATGATATTTCTATTCTTAGTTTTTTGAGGAACCTCCAAACTATTGTACTAATTTACATTTCCACCAGCAGTGTAGGAGGGTTCCCTTTTCTCTGCATCTTTATCAGCAATCATTATGGCCTGACTTTTGGTTAAAAACCATTTTAACTGGGGTGAGATGACATCTCATTGTAATTTTCATTTCCATTTCTCTAGTGATCAGATGTTGAGCACCTTTTCATATACCTGTCTGCTATTTTTATGCCTTCTTTGGAGAAAGGTCTATTCAGATCTTTTTGCCCACTTTTTAATTGGATTATTTGATTTTTTTCTGTTGAGTTGTTTGAGCCCTTATATATTCTAGTTATTAATCCCTTGTCAGATGGGTAGTTTTCTCCCATTCAGTGGGTTGTCTTTTCATTTTGTTGGTTGTTTCCTTTGCTGTGCAGAAACTTTTTGACTTAATGTGATCCCATTTGTCTATTTTTTCTTTGGTTGCCTGTGCTTGTGGAGTATTACTGAAAAAAATCTTTGCCCAGACCAATGTCCTGGAGAGTTTCCCCAGTGTTTTCTTTTAGCAGTTTCATTGTTTGAGGCCTTAGATTTAAGGCTTTACTTCATTTTAATTTGATTTTTGTATATGGCAAAAAATGGAGTCTAGTTTGATTCTGCATATAGATACCCAGTTTTCCCAGCACCATTAATTGAAGAGATTGTCCTTTCCCCAATGTACATTCCTGGCACCTTTGTCAAAAAAACAGTTTGCTGGAAATGTATAGGTTTATTTCTGGGTTCTCCATTCTTTTCCATTGGTCTATATGTCTGTTTTTATGCTAGTCTCATACTGTTTTGGTTACTGTAGCTCTTTGGTATAATTTGAAGTCAGATATAATTTGAAGTCAGATTCCTCCAGTTTTGGTCTTGTTGCTCAAGATAGCTTTGGCTATTCTGGGTCTTTGTGGTTGCATATAAATTTTAGGATTTTTTTTTTCTATTTCTGTGAAGACTGTCATTGGTATTTTGGTAGGGATTGCATTGAATCTGTAGATTGTTTTGGATAGTATGGACATTTTAACAATATTGATTCTTCCAATCCTTGAACATGGAATGTCTTTTCATTTTTGTGTGTCCTCTTCAATTTCTTGCATCAGTGTTTTCTAGTTTTCATCATATTTTTCACTTCTTTGGTTCAGTTTATTCCTAGGTATTTTATTTTATTTATAGTTATTGTAAATAGGATTACTTTCTTGATTTCTTTTTCAGATTGTTTGCTGTTGGCATATAGAAATGCTACTGATTTTTGTATCTTGATTTTGTATCCTGCAGCTTTGCTGAATTTATCAGTTCTAATAGTTTTTTGGTGGAGTCTTTAGGTTTTTCCAAATATAAGATCATATTGTCTGCAAAGAAGAATAACTTGACTTCTTCCTTTCCAATTTGAATGCCCTTTATTTCTTTCTTTTGTCCTATTGCTCTAGCTAGGACTTCCAGTACTATACTGAATAACAGTGGTGAAAGTGCGCATGCCTGTCTTGTTCCAGATCTTAGAGGAAAGGCTTTCCGTTTTTCTCCATTCTAAATGATGCTACTGTGGGTCTGTCATATATGGTTTTTATTGTGTTGAGGTATGTTCCCTCTATACCCAGTTTTTTAAAGGTTTTTATCATGAAGGGATGCTTACTTTTATCAAATGCTTTTTCAGCATCAATTGAAATGATTGTTTGGTTTTTGTCCTTCATTCTGTTAATATGATGTACCACACTGATTGATTTGCATATGTTGAACCATTCTTGCATCCCTGGGATAATTTCTTCCTGGTCATGATGAATGATCTTTCTAATGTGTCATTGAATTCAGTTTGCTAGGATTTTGTTGAAGATTTTTGCATCATTGTTCATGGAGGATATTGGACTGTAGTTTTCTTTTTTTGATGTGTCTTTGTCTGGTTTGGGTATCAGGGTAATACTGGCCTCCTAAAGTGAGTTTGGAAGTGTTCCCTCTTCCTCTGTGTTTGGAGTAGTTTGATAGGATTGGTATTAGTTCTTCTTTAAATATTTGATAAGATTCAGCAGTGAGGCCATTGGGTCCTGGGCTTTTCTTTGTTGGGAGATTATTTTTTTTTCTTTTCTTTTCTTTCATTATACTTTAAGTTCTAGGGTACATGTGCACAGTGTGCAGGTTTGATACATAGGTCTGCATGTGCCATGTTGGTTTGCTGCACCAATCAACTCATCATTTACATTAGGTATTTTTCTTAGTGCTATCACTCCCCCAGCCCCCTACTCCCCGACAGGCCCTGGTATGTGATGTCCCCCGCCCTGTGTTTAGTGATATCATTGTTCAATTCTGCTGGGAGATTTTTTATTACAGCTTTGATCTCATTACTTTTTTGTTTTGTTTTGAGATAGGGTCTGGGTCTGTTGCCAAGGTTGGAGTGCAATGATACAGTGTCGGCTTACTGAATCCTCCACCTCCCAGGCTCAAACCATCCTTCCACCTCAGTCTACCCATTAGCTGGGACTACAGGTGCACACCACCACGCCCAGCTAATTTTTGTTTTTTGTTTTTTAGTTTTTTGGCAGAGTTGGGGTTTTGCCATGTTGCCCAGGCTGGTCTCAAACTCCTGGGCTCAAGCGATCTATTCACCTCAGCCTCCCAAAGTGCTGAGATTACAGGCATGAGCCACCACACTCAGCCTCATTACTTGTTATTGGTCTGTTCAAGTTTTGGATTTCTTTATGGGTCAATCTTGGTAGGTTGTATGTGTTTAGGAATTTATCTGTTTCTTCTAGATTTTCCAATTTATTGGCATATATTTGTTCATAATAGCCTCTAATTATCCTTTGAATTTCTGTGGTATCAGTTGTAATGTCTCCTTTTTCTTCTCTGATTTTATTTATTTGGGCCTTCTCTCTTTTTTCTTAGTCTGCCTAAAGGTTTGTTGATTTTGTTTATCCTTTCAAAAGTCAACTTTTCATTTCATTGATCTTTTGTGTTTTTTTCACTTGAATTTCATTAATTTCTGCTCTGATCTTTATTGTTTCTTCTCATTTTGGATTTGGTTCTTTTCTAGTTCTTTAAGATGCATTGTTAGGTTATTTGAAGTTTTTGTACTTTTTTGACGTAGGCTCTTATTGCTATAAACTTTCCTTTTACTTTCACTTTATGTCCAAAACCACTTTATAGGTTTTGGTATGTTGTTTTTCCATTTTCATTTGTTTCAAGAAATTTTTAATTTCTTCATTTCTTCATTGACCCACTGGTCATTCAGGATGCTTTTAGGTAAATCAAGCCCTGCTAATTTGACACTAGAAAATAATGAATTTCTTTTGATTATTTTTATCTCATGTAGTTTAAAAATTTTGTGTCCAGTCATATCTTTAATTAGAGAATAATTTTTTAGGATTTCTCTTTTTTTTTTTTTTTGAGAAGGAGTCTCACTCTGTCACCCAGGCTGGAGTGCAGTAGCACAATCTCAGCTCACTGCAACTTCCACCTCCCAGGTTCAAGCAGTTCTCCTGCCTCAGCCTCCCAAGTAGCTGGGACTATAGGCACGGGCCACCATGTCCAGCTAACTTTTGTATTTTTAGTAGCGATGGGGTTTCGCCATGTTAGCCAGGCTGGTCTCGAACTCCTGACCTCAGGTGATCCAACCCCCGCAGCCTCCCAAAGTGCCGGGATTACAGGCATAAGCCACTGTGCCTGGCTTTTATGATTTATCCTGTATCCATTGCTTTTCTGAAACAATCTCCCCAAATTATCTACTACCTTACCTAAATTAATATTAGATCTATATATTGCAACCTAATGTTTCTAGCTAATAGTCTAAGTAGTTGGCATACTAATACAAATGTTTAGGCAAAAATACATCTGGCCCCACCCCCAGTCTCCACAAACTAGTTTGAGTCTATCCTATGTATAGTATAGACCAGATCAGACTCCCCTGTGACAGGTTCTAGACCATGGATGGCCTGTGACTACAAGAGACTTCTGGGTGAAGCATAGAATTCATCCATCTTGGAATGTTTGCTCAGAGCAAAATGTAACCCATTAACCATTGATCATGTCAGGAGTTTATCGAGGCATCCATAACAGGAAGGAGAAGCAAGCAGTAGCTAAGCACTCCACAATCTGAGGATAAAAGAGAGTGAATTCTGGTTGGCATAAATCAAGGAACACCACTGGAAGGTGTCAGCAAGTCAAAGCCTTCACATATCTATGGCTTTTTGTTACTGACAACTAACAGCATCTTAGTCATATTCCTGTTAAGTGTTTGCTATGTGTTGGGAAAGCAAAAATGAGTATGACATGATTCCTCTCCTTTAGTAGCTCCCAATTTAGTGAAGGAAATTGAAATGTTTACAGCTAACTATAATAAATAAACCCTACAGTGGTGTTACGTATTTTATGGAAGAACATAGGAGAATGCACTTACTGCTTTGGGGAAGTAAGAATGAGTTGGGGCAGTGAAGAGACTACCAAAGACTATCACATGTAAGCTAGCTCATGAAGAATAAGCTTTTCTAAAAGACAGAAAACAGTAGCCAGGGCCAGGTGCGGTGGCTCATGCCTGTAATCCCAGCACTTTGAAAGGCAGAGACAGGATTACTTGAGCCCAGGAATTTGAGACCAGTCCGGGCAACATGAGACCCCATCTATACAAAAAATTTAAAAATTAGCCAGATGTAGTGGTGCATCCCTGTAGTCCCAGCAACTTAAGAAGCTGAGGTGGGAGGATCACTTGAGCCTAGGAGGTGGACGCTATCGTGAACTGTTTTTTTGTTTTATTTTTTGAGCCTGTCACCCAGGCTGTAGTGCAGTGGTGTGATCTTGGCTCACTGCAACCTCCACCTCCCAGGCTCAAGTGATTCTCCTGCCTCAGCCTCCTGAGCAGCTAGGACTACAGGACTACAGGTGCGTGCCACCATGCCCGGCTATTTCTTTGTATTTTTAGTAAAGACGGTTTCACTATGGTGATCTGTGATCCTGCTACTGCACTGCAGCTTGAGTGACAGAGACCCTGTGAGTGAGACAGAGAGGGAAAAAGAGAGAGAGAGGGAGAAAGAGAGAGAGGGGGGCGGGGAGAAAACACCAGCCAGGGAACATGTGCAAAAGTGTGGAGGTGTGAAAAATGTATGTTATCTTCAGGGACTAGCAATTAATCCAGTTTTACTGCAGCATAGGATTCATTAGTAGGAGTAAAGGGAAACTGTAGGCGGTGAGGCTCAAATAGTGGGCTAAGATAGATTTCTGGAGGGCCTGAGTAACATAATAAGGACTTTAAACTTTTCCTTAAGTAGTAGGGAGGCTTAGAAAGTTGTTTTGGTTTTAGGAGATTTTTTTGAGAGGGTCCCACTCTGTTGCCCAGACTGGAGTGCAGTGGCACAATCTCAGCTCACTGCAACTTCGACCTTTCAGGCTCAAGCCGTCCTTAGCCTCCAGGTAGCTGGGACTACAGGTGTGCCTCACTACACCCAACTAATTTTTGTATTTTTTGTAAAGACAGTCTCACTATGTTGCCCAGGCTGGTCTCGAACTCCTGGGCTCAAGCGATCCACCCACCTCAGCCTCCCAAAGTAAGAAAGTTTTTAAAGAGGAAAGTGACAATATGATTAGATTTCTATTTTTCTGTTTTACTTTAGTTTTGTAGAGATAGGGGTCTCACTGTGTTGCCCAAGCTGGTCTTGAACTCTAGGCTTCAAGTGATGCTCCCACCTGGGCCTTCCCAAAGTGCTGGGATTACAGGCATGAGGTACCATGCTTGGCCTAGATTTGTATTTTTATAAGAGAATTTTAGTAGCAATTTAGAAAGATTAGAGCAGGCAAACACCAAAAGAAGTGAGAGCAGTTTGAAGGTTGTTTGCTCACTCCTAGTGAGCAGTTTTTTTTTTAATTTAAGAAATACATGTTTTCGATTCTGTGTGAATATTCTAATTGAATATATAATTTTATAGTTCCCATAATTTGATAGACTTTTGTTGTTACATCTTCCCTCTGTGTTTCAGTAAACCAGAATATAAGGCCATAAAGAATTATCTTTTGTAAACAGATTTATCTAGAAACCAGTCTATAATTTCCTTAATGATTGTCTAGTTTCTTCAGCAGCTTACTATATTTTGGTTTTGTAGGTTGGCCTGGCAGTGGTCAATGGACAGCTCATGGCAGTAGGAGGTTTTGATGGCACAACATACTTGAAGACCATAGAAGTTTTTGATCCTGATGCCAATACATGGAGGTAACTTTTAAGCTGTGTAGCAAATCACCTTACTACTGACTTGGAAATCATGGGCTTGAGATAGCCCATGACCATCAGAACTGGGATGGTCAGTACACTGGAGTACTTCGAAGAGGGCTGAAGTTACACATATTTATGGCTCATTTTGACTTGATTGCTCTAAAGTGGCTGATATATTACAAAATTCTCCTTTTCAGTAACTGTCCAGTTTTATCATTAGAGATGGGTAAAATAGGGGAAAAAATATCCTTCCTGGTCCGATCATGTTCAGCTGAGGAAACAAAAGCACTGAGAAATAAAATGACTTGCCTAAGTGACTTAGTGACAGAGTTAGAATTAGAACCTAGGTCTGGCTCCAAATCTGTCCATGCCATTTTTTGGTGTTCTTGTGGGAAATCTATGCTTAGGAAAAACAAATTGCAATTACTTTTGAAAAATTAATGTTTAAAAAAAGAATATTTCATTTTTAAACCCATTTTAACTTTTAGGGAGGAGGCTACATCTTATTTAAGAGAGCTTAACTTAAACTTCATTACTAGGTTTAATTTTACATTGTTTTTAAATCCTCAATTGTCTAATAAAGCTTTCCTAAGTAGTTAAGTAGTTTTTATAATTTCACATAAATTAGGTGACTTTTGCACTTATTTTAAATATTCAAAACCTTTACAAACTTAGCAAAATTCTTAAAATAATTAAGTCTAAATCTTTACTCAATCATATTTTATACTGGAATCACAAGAGTAATCTTATAGATGCTCTAAAAAGCCAAATTCTCTTAAACCCTATAAGAACTTAAAATGCCAAACATATAGTTGATTCTCAAACTTTAAAAATAACGGTACTATGGGTTTGATGTATGGCATATCTGTACTTAATTCTAAATACTAGTCTTCTAAGAAAACAGTTTTGCCTTCTAAGCAATTTGGGATTTCCTTCTCAATAAAATGGGCTTACTTGCCTAAGCAAGTTTAGGGTTACCATCTCAGTGGCTAAGGTTGCACATCAACCAGAAATATCAGGCTGGACATGTGAGCTGAGGAGCAGACATTCTGGGAAATTTTTCTTATGACCATGAAGGATAAGCTGAGCTCGTTTTACTGTTACTGTTCTAAAAGAGGCAGTCTTGTAGTCCATTCTTACTGTGTTCTAATACATTTCCTAATTTTAAGCCTGCAACTATCCACCTGGGTTTTTTCATCACCCTATTAGATTCAACTATAGTCTATCTCTAGGAAAGCCACAACCTTCACAGAGATTTAAGTGACATGCTTTGGATCCTCCATATGTCTCACAGCTCCATATGACTCAGTGGTCACAAACTAAAGTCAAGCTAATAACAGCATAGTACTTTTTGCTCCTACATCACATTTTTACAGTCCTGTTCATTAAGTAAAGATTTACTAATGGCTGGGCATGGTGGCTTATGCCTGTAATCTCAGCACTTTGGGAGACCAAGGTGGGCAGATCACCTGAGGTCAGGAGTTAGAGACCCCCTGACCAACATGGTGAAACCTCGTCTCTACTAAAAATACAAAAATTAGCCAGGCATGGGTGGTGGGCACCTGTAATCCCAGCTACTTGGGAGGCTGAGGCAGGAGAATCGCTTGAACCTGGGGGGCAGAGGTTGCAGTGAGTGGAGATTGGGCCATTGCACTGCAGCCTAGGTGACAGAGTGAGACTCCATCTCAAAAAAAAAAAAAATTTACTAAGTGCTCTGAGCCCTGGGGATACAAAACTAAACAACAAGAACAAAAAATTCCTGCTGAGCGCATGCCTGTAATCCCAGCTACTAAGGAGGCTGAGGCACGAGAATCTCTTGAACCCAGGAGGTGGAGGTTGCAGTGAGCTGAGATCACACCAGTGTACTCTAGTCTGAGTGGCAGAGCAAGGCTCCGTCTAAAAAAAAAATTTCTTGCCCTGCTGGAGCTAACCAGTTGTATTGAGGGAGACTAACAGTACCATACCAGTAGATGGAAGTGCTATGGCAAATATCAAAGCAGGGGAGGAGGCTAGGGAGTACGGGGAGGGGAATCTGTTTTTAAAGGTGGCCAGGGAAGGCCTCATTGGAAAGGTAACATTTTAGCAAAACCTAATAACGGTAAAGGATAGGTAATGGCAGCTTTGGGCCTCTCACTGGCAGGATATTTTCTTCCATATACAGCTTTCTATTTTTACTAAGAATTTTGAGTAAGCATAATTTCTGAAGACAGCCAAATTTACTGTCACTTAATCACTATAATCTTATCTGAGGACTTGTTTCTTAGTAACTGTCACTAAATAGAATTAGTAATAGATGACAAAGTAATAGTCATGAAATTCTTGAGGATCATCTGTTGAAAGATTAATAACTAAATATTTGCAGTTACATATCCCAGACTTAAAAACCAACTCTACCTCATAGCTGATAAGGGTCTAGTATTCTTCTCCATGGAAGGTCCTTAATTTTGAAGATGATCTTGTCACAAACTAGGTGCGACTTTACTCAAATCCAGTTTTGTTCTATAAAAGACTTGAGGAGGCTTACAGAGTACATATAAGACAAAGGGATAAAAATAAATATTTAAAGAATTTTAGGCAAAGGGAAAACACAGGTGGGACAATAATATAGCCAGGGGCAAAATTACAAAAATGTAGAATATATAATTCTGTGTAATTGTTAGAAGTCAGTGAGGTATAAAGTTGTAAAGTTCTGATGCAAAAAGTGAATATGCTCTCTTATTCTTCACACAGCCTCCTATGAGAGCATGTCAATCTCTGAAACAGTCCTGCTACTCAACAGTGCTCAACTGCAGCTTCTAATTTTTAGAATGAAGACAGTATTAGTGTGAAGCTGAAAATATTAGTTGTAATATAAAACATAGAAATGTGTTAATAACATCTTAGTTGTGGAAGAAATGGTGCTTTTTTTCCAGTTAGAAAATATGATTATGTTTCTCTCTTTGCAGGTTATATGGCGGGATGAATTACCGTCGGCTAGGGGGTGGTGTAGGAGTTATTAAAATGACACATTGTGAATCCCATATTTGGTGAACACAGAGAAGACACAGTCTTGTACATATTCCTCTGTATTCTGGGGAGCTTTGACCTTGGAGCTTTGTACAGCTTGAGAAAACATTAGAACAAGTTTTATTATTTGCCGGTGCCTCAACATATGGAAATACAAATGAAAGTAGTTCACCTGCAAGATGCACAATAATTTTCAACTCTGTGCAGAAGAATATTTATTTTTGGTTTTAATTTATCATGGTTTTTTGTTGTTTTCGTTTTGAACTTATCCTTCCTCCCACAAAAAAAGAAAAGAAGAAAAAAATTCCAAGCAGCAAAACTTACTTTGTTTATAAGGTATTGATTTAGGTTTGAAAATACTATTTAATAAGGGCATAAGGGCTATATATGATTTGGCTGTTATTTCTAGACACTCCATCCACGTGATTCCACTAACAAGGATTACCAGGAATTAAGGTAGGTATGCAAAATGTATTAGCTAGCCATTATTCTTGCACTAACCACCAGAACACTTGAAAATCTAAAAAAAAAAAAAAAAAAAAAGAAAAGGCAACATCTCATTTTAAATAGTACAATTCAGAAGGGATACTAAATCAATAAACACCAGGACCCAGACACTACAGTTTTCATCAGTGTAATTTTATGTCTTGTTTCTATATGAATTTGTTTATTTAGTCTTTTTTTCATAATATTCTCATAGAGTTTCTGCTAGATCTAGAGCTCTGCTCAGTGCCTCTTATAAAAACAATATATGTCTCATATGCTGTCTTGAGAATCCAAGAGAATCACATGCAGCTCTGCAACAGTTTTTGCTCAAAAATGTTACCAACTAAAGCAACTGTCCTTCCTGTTTCCTTATTGCTACCAAGGACCAGCAGGGAGAAATATCTTCTCCCAGCAGTGAATTCTGTTATGCAATTTATTCTTGATGCTCAGGCCTAGTTAAGCTGAGGCTTACCTTTAATAACAGCCTCCAAGGGAATGAATTATTCAGTTCATGTAATAGCACACATTAAAGAGTATAAAATCAATTGAGGCATTTTATTAATATCTTGGTTCTTTTATACAAACAATGTATCATTATCTTCGTTCTATAAGACCATTGTTACTACTTCTCTCAAATTGCACTTTCTGGTAAAAAGTTAAAAATTTTTAGGAAAAAACATAATTTCAATGGTTAAAGTTTTTTTTCCTCATTGTATTCATAGACAAATTTTTTTCAATATATTTTGCAAGAAAAATCTTTGAATAAGACTAACTGCATTTAAAAGGAATAACCTCCTTTCTCCAACTACAAAGATGTTTGGCAACTTTGTGTTTACATTTAAAGATCATTTGCACCTTTTTCAAGGAAAAAAAAAGTATTGAGTAAACAATTGTTTACATGTATCATTTATGCTTTTTTCTAGCATGTATAACTTTTTAAAATAAAGGTAGTATTTACCATTAAAAAATTTTTAGCTAATGCTTTTTATCCTTGTACTTTTGTTATTTAATTTGGAATTTCTGTTTCTATATAATTTATTTTACCTGTATGTAAACTTACAAGTGCTTTCAACTTGAAGGAATAAAAGGATTGCCAGCTAGAATTAATAGGAATTTTCATTATCTATTTTTATATGTTATATTACCTAACCTATAAACTTATTTTCTAGGTAGAACTTAGAATCATACAATTTTGAGCTGGAAGGACTCTTTAACAATCATCTAGTCCAAACCTATTTATTACACTGATCCAAGTCTGAAAACCACAGAAGTCTGCCTAAGAATAAATAGTTAATGACAGAACCAACATTAGAAGTCAGTTTCCTCAATTCCCAGTCCATTCCTCCTTCTATGCCACACTGCCACTGCCGGTTTACCTGAAACTAAATATAATAAAAGACCTTAGGTATTTTAACTAAGTCTGGTATGAACATGTAAAAAGTATAAAAACTTTTATGAGATCTTTACTGTAGTACATCATTAACAATCAGCCTTCAAGGCAAAACCATGTATTTCCCAAGACTCTACTATTTCATACATCTGAGGCAAAAGAGAGTGATAATAGCAAGAACAAAACTAGGGATTAGACTCTCCATTAGTCAGGAAGTCCCCAGTGAGAGCAATTCATACGGCACTGATTCAAGAGTAGAGACCCAGGAATTAACAGCACTGGCCAGAGTCTTCATTGGAGACTGTTAGGGGTTTGTTTTCCCCCTCCAGTGAAGGCACTCCACTTTTATTATTGATTGAAATGTATTCTGTTAAAGGTGTTGCTGTAAAATAGAATGTTTATTAATTTGTGTGCATAGTTTTTTCCACAACTCAAGTTTGGAATAGGGGTTGGGTTGGCAGTCATTTTCATTTCATAAGTAAGTCTACTGAAGCTTAGAAAAGTTGAAATGACATGGTAGGAGCTGAACCTTAAATCTGTAGCCCCTGATTGTAAATCCTTTGTGCTCTATACACATTCCCACATTCCTGTTTTTGATTGCTTCCCAGTTCTCTTCCATAATGTTTTACCTCTAGATACTCACACTGCAGATAATACTTCTTGACTACTGTGTAAAAGGGGTCTTTCCCGTACAAGATGTGAGGGAGTAGGGGACGAACCTTTCAAACTTTGTGTTAACTGGGGAAACAGATGGGCAAAGAAAAACTGCAAGAAGGAAAGAAATATAGAAGAGGAGAGAAAGCAGCAGCAGGAGGCAAAAATGACCCACTAAACCTGAGTGTGTCTGCCCAATTGTGAGAAATGGCTCTGTAAATTGCTTTGAGGGCCCTGCTGGAAGTGACGGAAAAGAATGGTCCCAAGAAATGACAAAACTCTTCAACTAAGTTGTCTTACATGTCCTTTATACTGATCTTTCAGTTATTTAGCTGTGTAAGGTTAGGAACTTAGATTATTTTAAATGTAAAAAAGAAAGGATGGTTATTCACTGAACTATCACAAAATATTTGGGGTTATTCCAGTAACAGTAACCTACTAATACCCCTATCCTAGAAAGACTGTTTAAGCCCGAATTCCTAGGAAAAGAGGACACATATCTTCAGTGTGAATTTAGATCAGTGAACCCTTGAACTTCTCCTAAACAAGAACAGCCCCTGCTTTCAAAAAAGCTTAGTTTTAAGCCTTGGTTTCATCAAGCTTCTCGATCAGTGGTTCTCAAAGTATGGTCTGTGGACCCCTGAGGTCTCCCATATCTTTCTTTTTCTTCCTCTTGTTGCCCAGGCTGGAGTGCAATGTTGCAATCTCGGCTCACTGCAACCTCTGCCTCCCAGATTCAAGCGATTCTCCTGCCTCAGCCTCCTGAGTAGCTGGGATTACAGGCATGTGCCACCAGGCCCAGCTAATTTTTTTGTATTTTTAGTAGAGACGGGGTTTTGCCATGTTGTTCAGGCTGGTCTCAAACTCCTGACCTCTGGTGATCTGCCCCCGTTGGCCTACCAAAGTGCTGGGATTACAGGCGTGAGCCGCTGCACCCAACCAAGTCCCCAATATCTTTCAAAGTATCCATGAGTCGAAACTTTTTTTTTTTTTTTTTTGAGAGGGAGTCTCGCTCTCTCGCCCAGGCTGGAGTGCAGTGGCTCAATCTCAGCTCACTGCAAGCTCTGCCTCCCAGGTTCACGCCATTCTCCTGCCTCAGCCTCCTGAGCAGCTGGTGCCCACCACCATGCCAGACTAACTTTTTTATATTTTTAGTAGAGATGGGGTTTCACCGTGTTGGCCAGGATGGGCTCGATCTCCTGACCTCTTGATCCGCCCACCTCAGCCTCCCAAAGTGCTGGGATTACAGGAATGAGCCACAGCGCCCGGCTGAAACTGTTTTCTTAGTAAAACTAAGTTTTCTGCCTTTTTTACTGTAGTGGCATTTGTGTTAATGGTGCAAAAGCTATGGTGGGTAAAACTGCTGGTGTCTTAGCATAAATCAAGGCATAAATCAAAGCATAAATCAAACTGTACAACTAGACATAGTATTCACCACCATAGACTTGTAGGACCTTTTTTTTTTTTTTTTAACATGTTTTTGTTTGAGACAGAGTCATGCTCTGTCACCCAGGCTGGAGTGTAGTGGTGAGATCTCTGCTCACTGCAGCCTCCACCTCCTGGGTTCAGGCAATTCTCCAACCTCAGCCTCCCAAGTAGCTGGGAATACAGGCGCCCACTAGCACCCCTGGCTAATTTTTTTATTTATTTTTCGTAGAGACAAGGTTTCGCCATGCTGGCCATGCTGGTCTCGAACTCATAACCTCAAGCGATCCGCCCACCTCAGCCTCCCAAAGTGCTGGGATTACAGGCATGAGCCACTGTGCGTGGCCTGGATTTTTAAAAATTTGCTTAAAAATGTCCTTGATGAAGCAACAAAAATTATTAATGTACTAAATCTCAACTTGTGGACATACATCTTTTTTCAATATTTTATGACAAAATGGGAAGTATGTATAAAACACTGCTGCGAACCAAAATACAGTGGTTGTCCCAAGAAAATCTTTTGAGATTGTTTTAAGATGCAAGCTGAACTACCTACTTTTTGAAAGAATGACACACAAATTGAGGTCATTTAGACTTGGGTGTTGAGCAGGTATTTTCTCTCAAGTGAACAAAGTGAGGCTATCATTTCAAGGAACACAACTGACAGTACTTATTGTCAACCATATTCAAGAGAAAAATTACAATTTTGAGAAGGCTATGTCAACTATGAACTTGACAGCTACTTAAAAACTTTTCTGATGAAACTGGTGATGACATCGATGAATGCCTTTTTAATTGTATAGTGAAGCGTGTCAACATGTAGAAGATCTGTATAACTCATGGAATCAGTTTTTCTAAATGATTAATGCACAGGTTAAGATGTATCCAAAGCACAAGACAGACCAACAGATCTTATGGGAACAATATGAAAGGTCTATTGATATGGTTTTAGATTTCAGCAGTCACTTGTCAAGTTTTAATGTAATATCAAGAGTATCCATAATTATCAGAAAAGCTCTTAAAATCCTCCTCCCCCTTCCAATTTCATATTTGTGTAAGCCATATTTTCTTGACATACTTCAACCAAAATAACATTGCAAAAGATTGAATGCAGAAGCAGGTAAGAACTCAATTGAGTTCTAATAAGCCAGAAATTGAAGAGTCATACAAAAATGTAAAAGAAAACATCACTAATTTTTTTGCTTTTGAAATAAAAAAAATTGTTTTAAAAATGATAGCCTGGGCCAGGCATAGTGGCTGATGACTGTAATCCCAGCACCTTTGAAGGCCCAGGCGGCAGATACACTTAAGATCAGGAGTTTGAGACCAGCCAGGCAAAAATGGCAAAACCCTGTCTCTACTAAATATACAAAAATTAGCTGTGCATGGTGGTACATGCCTGTAATCTCAGCTCCTTGGGAGGCTGAGGCAGGAGAATCCCTCGAACCTGAGACACAGAGGCTGCAGTGGGCCGAAATCATGCCACTGCACTGCAACCTGGGTGACAGAGTAAGATTTCGTCTCAAAAAAAAAAAAAAAAAAAAAGGCATGTAAATAGGTTTATTTTTGATGCACTATTTTTTTTAATTTCTCTA